TCTCTCTCTCTCTCTCTCTCTCTCTCTCTCTCTCTCTCTCTCTCTCTCTCTCTCTCTCTCTTTTCCTGGCAACTACATAAAAAGGAGAAAAATATGATTTTCCCATAATTTTATCCTGGGCTGTTTGTGCATTAATACATAATAAACACGAGTGAGTTTACTGGGAGCTTACCTCTTTTGATAATTCACTTCTTTCTTTAGCCTGAGCTATGTGAGAGGCTTCAAGTATTTCATGTTTTCTCCGAACTTCAAGTACTTCCTGTTCAAGAGCATCGCGTTCACTATGAAAACAAAATTAAATACACATGGAAATACAGAAACCTCTTTCACAGTTGAAAGGGGTTGAGTGGCAAGAAGCTGACCAAAACAGTGGGGCTTTTGTGTATTTGAACTTTTCAAATTCAGAAGGTTCAAGGCCTTGTTCAGATAAGTAACTATGAACATTAGTGTTACATAAATACATAAAGTACACTAAGCAGTAAATTACACAACTCTTTCTACGGTACAAATTCATTCTCCCCTACTCTATTTTTGTTTTATGGTTGCTGTTGCTGTTTGGGACATGATCACACTTAATCCACATGCGCCAAGAACTCACAGCATTTCTGTCTTGGTTTCCCCATGCCATGATTACAAACCTCCACCTTACGGCTTCAGTCTTACCTTGAAGTCAAAGATTTTAAATTAAATATAGATTCAGGCTTTATTAAGGTAAAAAAATCTATCATAACTTCAAATAACATTGTCCAGCAATACATAGGCATGCATTCAGGGCACCGTTCCAGTCCCACGTCGCTATGATTTAGCCAGACATTTTAGATTTCTCCATCAGACTAGCCTCTCCCACCAAGACCTGGGCCAAATCCTTCAACAGGCATCTTTTTTTTTTTCAAGACAGGGTTTCTCTGTGTAGCTTTGGAGACTGTCCTGGAACTTTGGACCAGGCTGGTCTTGAACTCAAGAGATCTGCCTGCCTCTAACTCCTGCATCAACTGGCATCTCTAAAACTGAGCAGAGAAATACGTTTGCTTCTACCCTCCTTTCCCCAAGTCAGAACAGCCTTGGGACTTCACGGACTCCCGGACTGCACAGGAGAACTGTTTTCTTTCCACTGCTTTTCAATGCCACGAGATGAAAGACGCATCCTATTCTCTGACATACTTCACCCGAGGCTGCAGATTCCATTGATGATGCAGGATAAAATATGAGTAATGAGGCTATAGAGCAGCCCCCTGCCACAGAGATACATTTACTAATTGAGATGGTACTGTTCAGATCTTCTTTCCCCACTTAGTGCTTGCTAGTAAGCCCCTGTAGACAAAGTCTTTTCCTATCAATGGGCTATAACTCATAATCGTCAGCATTTATTTCTATACACAGGTTGTACTATATTATATTTAGTTGCCAGGAGGTTTTTCAGTTGACTATTGTGGTGTTAACTGGAACGAAAAGCATCAGTATAATTTTATGCAGCGTGTCCTGCTCTTCTGTCTTCCCTCTCTCCTGTCCCTGTCAAGGAATAATGGCTGATATAGCAATGATCACAGCCCAAATATTAATTTTGAAATAGCACTTCCTGTTCCTCGAAGTCAGAACTCTTCAGAAAGGGTCAAGGGGACTTCATGTCATGCCAGGAGCTGTAGAGCTGTGCAGCAAGAGTGACTCCAATCTAAGTTAATGCTTTTTTAACTGCCACATAGAATTTTATGTAGAAATAAATTATCCAGAAACATTTGAATCCTAGAGATGATTTAATAGCTATATACCCATTAATTTAATATATTTTTGAGAACTTACCACGGGGCATATCCCCAGGTTACCTTATATTTCCATGGCTTATCCTTCTCTTTTTATTCTGTGTAGTGCTGGCGACTGAACCCAGGGTGGCGATGCTCTACCAGTGAGCTACATACAGTAAGTACCAGGCCGGGATTCGGAGTCAGGATTTTTGTCAGAGTTCATGCTGTACTCAGGAACTCACCATCCTACTTCCTGCTTCAGCCTCTCCAGTGCCAGCTGGGATTGCAGGTCTGCGGCCACCATACACGGCTTGTCTATTTTTCTAACTTATTCATGAACCAAGGATTCAGTTGGAACCCCCCCTTTTTCTACTGTCCTATTTTGAACATATGGAAGTGCTTATACTTTTTAATAAAGGTTATATTTTTTTCTTTTAGTTTTTTATTATAAAAAATAAAAATAAAAATAGAAAATACTATAGTGAGCCACCATGTGGTTGCTGGGAATTGAACTCAGGACCTTTGGAAGAGCAAGCAATGCTCTTAACCTCTGAGCCATCTCTCCAGCCCCCCATCCATGATTCTATTAAGCAACATTGATAATTATCAACTATAACTTGTCTTGTTTTATTTACTGATGAATGAATTAGGGAGTTCTAGATTATTTTGATAATTATAATTTTTCTCATTTTATTTACTATTTCTGTAGATTTAGAAAGGAAAATAACATCAAAATATGAATTATAAGTATCACCTTACATCTCATTTTATTTTATTCATTATTATTAAATTTATTTAAACATTCTTTTCTCATTTTACATGCCTATCCCAGTTCCTACTCTCTTCCTTCCTCCTGCTCTCCCCCCACCTTCCCCCGCCTTCCCCCCGCCTTCCCCCCACCTTCCCCCCACCTTCCCCCCGCCTTCCCCCCGCCTTCCCCCCACCTTCCCC